TATTTTATTTTATTTTATTTTTTTAAGAGCATGTATAAATCTGTAAGCACTGTGAACCATGGTGAGAAGCATTCACTGTCACTTATTTTGCTTCTCAGAGGGGAGGCATACTTGATTCTTAACTTTTTTTTGCCTGCTGTTGTGACTTGTAATGCCAGGGGAGGACTCAAAAGCATTTAATATACTTGAGTTGGAAGGGCTCTATAAAAGCCTTCTCTGAACATTAAGGAGATATTGTGAGATGATGTCTGACAGATGCAAAGAGAATGCACAAAATACAAGATCATTCCTTTAGGTATCACTGTCTACTTGGGGCAGTGTCAAGGGTTAGCAATGTGTGATACTGGGGTGAAGGCATGATTGTGTGAACACAGATCTCGCAGAAATAGATGCTGTAACTGACTGTTACTCCTACTTGTTAATGCCCTATTCAGTTCTTGTTCCATTCTCTCTTTGTTTCCAGTTCCTGACTGGCCTGCTCCTCACAGTCCTCACCGACATCATCCACATCTCTGTGTTCTACCCTCCTAACAAGTATCTCACTGATACGAAGCGTTTCAGTACAGGCATGGCCATCTTCAGCCTCCTCCTCAAACCTGTGTCCTGCTATTTGGTGTATCGAATGTATCAGGAGCGTGGAGGAGAGTACACCTTTAACATAGGTAGGATGCTGCTTCTGCCTACACATCAGCGTGGGCCACCTCCTCTGGTGTTAGGGAGACTGCCTTGCACGTTGGACCCTTCAGCCTGAGCTCTGTGCAGCTGGATTCTGCCCCCTTTTGCCTTGCTGTGGGCCATCTTTGTGACAATTTTTGTTAGCTGCTCACTGTACTTATAGCTGGGATTTGACATTTGTATCCCATGGAAAGTGTATCCCATTGAGAAGTTCATCCCTTTGCTTGGACTTTGGGAGCACTCCTCCTTTTCAACCTATCCTAACACAGGCATGACACCGTCTGAGAGTCTCTTCTCTGGCAGAGGCTGGAATTCAGACACTTTGTAGTTTCATATCTTCTCCTGAACTGTCTTTCTCACAAGATTTTCAGTACAAACTGTGTGCTGCTGTTTTGTGTTGAATGTCGTTGACAAATTTCCTCTCATTTTCTTGCTATCTGGCATTTTCCTTTCAAACCTAACAGTGTTGCATTTTTCCTGGTCTTCTCTGTCTCATGTTCTTCACACAAAATCCCTTTTTGTTGCTTGGCAGCATCCTTGCTGCACAGAACAAGCCTCTGATATGGTTTGGTGCCCACCTTTGATTTCAGATTGCTTTCTAGCCGTGGCAGGTGCCTGGCTTGTAGATAAAGAGCTGTCCATGCACATTCTCTGTCTGTTTCTCTTCTTTTCCTGCTCACCCAGGGAAACAGTAACATGATTTTTGACAGTAACATGATTTTGTACCAGTCTTGTACAGGCAAATTGTTGATAGTGCAGTTGGGAGCACTGCTGGATTCAAATTTAGTGCCATGATGTGGCACACTGGGAAGAGTGGTTCATGGATGAATCATGCTCTTAAATCTATGCTGTCAGCTAGCCGTGGTTCCTGCTGCTTCTGGTTTTGTCTGTTCATTTTTCCACTAGATCTCATAAACTTGTTGAAATATGCTATTTCAGGAGCCTGTTATGCTGCTGTGTAGTATTGTGGGTCTTGCTTTCTGCACAGCCATGTGGCTACTAGGAGAGCAGTTCTCAGGGAATGAAGAGGCATGTTCAAATGCATCTCAGTTATTTTGCCTTTGTTGGAAGGATGAGTTTTCTTACCTCTTTGTGTAGTGAGGGTCACAGAACACAGATGCTGGGGAGCTGGTAGACTGGCTAATGTGGTGTGCTCCTGAGGTTTCTTTTAGGGGATTAAGTCTTGTGCTTTTGTTTTTTTCCCAAGCTTGTTCTCTTTCCTTTCCATTCAGGTGTCACCTGTGCAGGGCGGGATCGCAGCACCTATGAGCCAATTGATCAGCAGGATGCCCCTCCACAGTGGCCCGACTCAAGCAAGACAGCCCAGCAGCCGTACTGAGGCCCTCTCCACAACGGAGAACAGATGCTTCCCTGGCCCGATCTAGCCTTCCACTCTTCCCATGTCCGTTCTGATGGAGCAAGACCTGCTACTGAGCAAACAGGAGAGGATCTGACATTTCATTTCTTTTGCCTCCCTGAAAGTTAGGCAGATAGGTTCCTGCAGTAAGTCCAGAAGAACTCAGAGATGTCATGTTAAGCACTGTGACTCTTTGTAATCCCAGTACTCTCCTCCCTCCTCCTAAATCCTGCCTGTGTATGTGTGAGTGGATGCACCTTCTGCAGTCTTCCAAGTCTTGTATTCTGCATCCTCTCTATTGTCAGTAAGGGAACCACTCAAAATATTCCTGGACATGCTATCTTTAAAGGCTTATGGACTGCCCTTAACAATACAGTTTAACCTGCTTTTATGCAGATACATTTCCAGGAAACATCTGGGAGTTCCTGAGGGCTGTTTTTGATGGTGTTAAACTAAGATTTATGACCATAACTCCCTGTTCTAGCTGTGGTGGTTTGCACAGAGCTGGTGTTGGTATAAAATGCTCTTACTGGGCCAGGGAGCTTGTGCTCCCACTATCTAGTCTTGGGTTTTATTCACTGATGCCTTTGTGCAAGTTGAATGTCCTTCAGGATACTTAAAACGGCTGTTGAATGTAGGTTATAGATACTCTGTGCCTTGAAATGTTCTTTTACCTTCAGCTGCCTATCTTAACAGAACTTGAAATGTTACATTTTTCTAAGAAAACTATAAAATGAACAGTTTTTCTGTTAGAAAAAGTTATGCTGGTCACCTCTGTCTCATTTGAAAATATAGGTATTCCTGAGGGTTTGGGACTGTAGCCAGGTAGTTTGTGAGAGTCATTATGGGGGAAGGTCTATGGCTTTTACTCTAAGCTTTACTCAGACAAGTAGAGGGTACTGCTTGTAAATGTGTGAGTAGGAAGGTGGGCTAGTAAAATGAGGATCAGGGAAAGGAAATTAGTTTATTTACACTGCAGTGGTGAGCTCTATGGGGTGTGACAAAATATAAACTCTAATCTTGTGCACAATAAATCTGTCCTGCTGGGACTTTCAGGTAAAATCCTTAAACCCCCCCCCAAAAAACAAACAGGATTCTTTTTTGGAAGAAAAAGAGCATGTCAGCTTTTGCAGAATGAAAATACTAGTGCTAGGAAGATCTGTGTTTTTCTGAAGCATCTTCATTTTCAGAGTTTACACCTGTTATTCTACAATTGCATTTCTCTTGACAAGACCTACTGTTGCATTGACTCTTCAGTGACCAAGAGCCCTGTTAACTTGGCTCTAACCTCTAGAACCATGCCATTTGTAATTTTTAAAAATAAGCCATTTTTTTCCAAGTTTGACCACTTTAAACATAATCAGATGCTTCTTCCACTGTGCTGCACAAGCACTACAGTGACCTGCTACTGTACCTGGACCAAGCACATGGTAAATGCCATAGCAGTGCAGTAGTCTTGTTTACTCTCCTGAGTGTTGGGCATTCATTTTGCAGGCTGCCATGCAACAGAGCACAGGAATGGGAGTCAATCTGCTCTTGTGATCAGATGGGAAAGAAAGAATAGATAGATAGAAATTTTTGGGGCTTGTGCAGTTGCAGAGGAGGTCTTAATTTTTTTTCATCTCTTCAGAACTGTACAGTGACAGCACAGATCCCTGAATAACACATTTAAACACTCAGGTTTTCTCTTCCCTGGACTTGTGAAGCACAGACTGAAAACAACTGTTTTAAATGTAGTTCTTTTTGGGTATTTGCACAAACAGTGAGGCCTTCCCGACCATTCTCCATTGTGAAACACACCACAAAATCTATTGATACCCATCTAGCTGACCTGCTGTGTGCTTTTGTGTGGAGAATTCAGCACACCTGGGAGCTCAGGGAAGCAGAGCAAGGCAAGAGTTAGGCTAGGCTTAATAACAGGCCTTAATAAAAGGCCCAAAGATACCTATTTGGGGCAGTAAATCAGAAAGGTGGTGATAAAACAAGGTCCCTCTCCTGATTTCTGAGGAGGAGGGTGTTTATTTCAGTAGTGCTTATAATAAGCACCAACACACAGTTGGATCAATACCTGGTTTAGTGGGCTGTGTGGGGATTCATCGAGCCTGTTGTCTGGAGCGCAGCCTTGAAGATCCCGGCAGCCTGGTTTCCCCGCGGGGCTCCTCACCCAGACGTGCAGCAGGTGCGATACTCTGCTCAGGTTGGGGTTTTTTGTTTGTTTAAAAAAAAAAA